AAGAGAAGAGCCTACTACTCCACAAACAACAAGTAATCAAAGCAACTCATCGTCATCAACTTCACAAGAAAATTCAAGTGAAAGAGTACCACGCTTCAGGAGATTAGAAGATCTTTATGACGTAACTATGAATCAAGATAATCTTACTCTTTTTTTGTCTCTTTGCCGACTGTGAACCCATGGACTTCTAAGAAGCCATACAAAGCAAGAAGTGGAAAGATGGAATGTATGAAGAAATTAAGGCGATCGAGAAGAACGACACATGGGAGCTGGCTTCACTTCCTAAAGGGCATAAGGCAATTGATGTGAAGTGGGTGTACAAAGCGAAGAAGAATTCCAAAGGAGAAGTTGAAAGAAACAAGGCAAGATTGGTGGCAAAAGGCTACAATCAAAGAGCAGGCATCGACTATGATTAGGTATTTGCCCCTGTTGCACGATTAGAAACTATTAGACTAATCATCTCTTTGACAGCTCAAAGACAGTGGAGAATACATCAGATGAGATGGATGTAAAATCTGCCTTCTTGAATGGAATACTTGAAGAAAAAGTCTACATTAAGCAGCCACCAGGATATGAAATCAAAGGGCAAGAAGACAAGGTTCTAAAGCTAAAAAAGGCTCTATACGGGCTAAAGCAAGCACCAAGAGCATGGAATAGCCGAATCGACAAGTATCTGCAAGAGAAAGGCTTCATGAAGTGTCCTTATGAGCATGCTCTTTACATCAAGAATGAGGATGAAAATGTCTTGATTGTTTGTTTATATGTCGATGATTTGATCTTCACAGGAAACAATCCAAGCATGTTTGAAAAGTTCAAAGAAGCGATGACAAAGGAGTTCGAAATGACAGATATTGGGCTCATGGCATTCTACCTTGGCATTGAAGTCAAGCAAATGGAAGATGGGATCTTCATCTCACAAGAAGGTTATGCAAGGGGGATATTGAAGAAATTCAAGATGGAGAATAGTCAACCTATAAAAACTCCTGTAGAATGTGGAGTCAAGCTATCACAGTTTGATGTGGGAAAAAGAATTGATTCAACGTTTTTCAAGAGTTTGGTTGGAAGTTTGTGCTACTTAAAATGCACAAGACCTGATATTATTTATGCTGTTGGACTTGTCAGTCGTTACATGGAGACTCTGACTATTACCCACTTGAAGACTGCTAAAAGGATTATGCGCTATATCAAAGGTACAATTGATTTTGGCTTATTTTACTCATCATCCAACAATTTCAAGCTTGTAGGATATAGCGACAGTGATTGGGCTGGAGACATGGATGATAGAAAGAGCACTACAGGGTTCGTGTTCTTCATAGGAGACACAGCTTTCACTTGGATGTCAAAGAAACAACCAATTGTCACTCTTTCTACTGGCGAAGCAGAGTACGTGGCTGCAACCTCATGTGTTTGTCATGCAATTTGACTTTGAAACCTATTAAAGGAGGTAAGTTTACCACAAGAAGAGGCGATTAAGATTTGTATTGATAACAAGTCTGCAATCGCGCTAGCAAAGAATCCCGTTTTCCACGATATATTGATATGTGTTATCACTACATCAGAGAATGCATCGAAAGAAGGGAGATACAAGTGCAATACGTGAAGTCTCAAGATCAAGTTGCAGATATTTTTACCAAGCCACTAAAGAGTGAAGACTTTATTAAAATGAGAAGTTTGCTTGGAGTCACAAAATCAAGTTTAAGAGGGGGTGTTGAAATATAAACTTGTTATTAGTTGTTTAAATAAATCTTAATTTCTATAGGCTTATTCTAGAATATGTGGTAGGTATGAAATTATTGAGTAGTAGGTGTGATTGTGTGGTAGGTGTGGAATTATTTGTAACCATTGGATTGTAATTATGGTGGCACAATGCTAACCATTAATTTAGGAGGTGCCAATAGTATAAATAGGGGTGAAGTTTTTGAGTTTGTATCAAGCAAAGTAAAGGTGATAAATAAGAGTGAAGCTTCTTCCATAAGTTGTGTTTTTAGCCTTTGTCATTTCCTAAAAGCTTTTTCATTCCAACAAGTCGGTGACCGGAGGTACTAGGAGATTGGAGGTGGTTGTGGCATTGGACGACGGACAATAGCCAATGGGAGGCGATAGTCAGTGGTAGCGGCGAACGATAGTAGTGTCACTTTATACAAAGCAATATATTTAAAATTTATCTAAATTGGATGAATTATAAATATATTGAAACTAAAATAGATTGTGAATTCAAAAGAAGTTGAAATTTTATGGTGAATTTATTTTAAAAAACGTATAATGCACTCCTTAAGACCAAACAATCAAAATATATGCATTTTAAGTATTTTATTATTCTTTTTACACAATTACATTCCCATAAAACTAACCGACTGTAACATTAGTTCTCACTATGGATTGCGCTCTGCATTTTGTTGGCAGAATTTTCGATATATCAATTTTTATTGGCAGAGTTTTCGGTCAACTCAGACTTTGGGACTTCCGTCCAGTCACAGGGCCTTCTCATCTACTTTAGGTCACTTTTCCGCTCTCAAAGGTAGGATTCCATTTTCATTGTCGCGATCATAATGGGGCTTGAGATAGAGTCCATGGCGACGGCAATCGGCGTATCGGTGCCGGTGCTCCGCTTCTTGTTGTGCTTCGTGGCAACAATCCCGGTGAGCTTCGTATGGCGGTTCATGCCGGGCCCAGCTGCGAAGCACCTGTACGCCGCCGCCTCCGGGGCTTTTCTCTCCTATCTTTCCTTCGGCGCTGCTTCCATTCTTCTCTTCATCTTTCCAATGACTTTCGGCTACACTTCTATGCTCCTTCTCCGACGCTATGCTGGCATGTTCACTTTTTTTGCCGGATTTGCTTACCTCATTGCATGGTACTTATATAAATTCTCTCACCTTTGCTCTACCCTCCCGAAATTTTGCACAATCATAGCATCGATATCTTTCTTATCTGGATATTTATGTAAGTTTTTCTATCTCTTCCGTTAACTTTTATTTGGGGCGTCCCTATTTTATATTTTGCTATTCCCTTAAGAAACAGGCGAGTTGGCCTTCTGTAGATCTTCTGTTTCTTATGCTGGAAATTTTTTGTTTCTCTAGAGTGATTCTCTGAATAATTCAGCATTGTATTATCTAATATGTTTGTTAGATTTTGTTATGTATTTTTCATATTCTTAAGTGGAAACTTAGTTTAGAGAAAGACGTTATGTTGTATCCTATGAATTATAGTTTTCTTGTAGGGGATACAGTGCAACACTTAAATTAATAATACTAATATAAAGACAAAGCAATATATTCTTCCTTTGTGGCTACTAATTCGGTGAGGAATTTCACAGGATGTATTAATGTTCTTAAATAAAATATTTGCAAATTTGAAGATCAATATTCTCTCATAAGTAATGTTAAAATTTTAAAATCATGGCAAAGATGATCTTATACTCAACATTAAATAAAATAGTTATAATTTTAAAAATTAAAATTGCGGCGTGTGGCATGTGGCAACTATTTAATGCATTTGAATTCATGTTCAAATAGTGCAATGTGGCAAGTATTTTCTCTAGGAATCACTTGCATGTGTTTTGAATATAATGATTATTTTTGTTGGAATAGTAAATTGATGGATGTCTAGGAGATGTAAGTAAGAGGATAGTTTCTTGTCTGCTTTAGTGCAAGAGGTTGCATTTATCATATAATAATCATTATATAGTTTTTTTCTTGTAACAATGAATGACAAACTCTTGAAAAATCTATGTGAATTTCTACATCGTGATAAATTCTATTGTTTTATCTTTTTTCTATGAGAACAACTAGTAATCAGTATGAGGCAGTTGCCTTCTGATATGGACTTAGTTTTTTGTCCAATAATATCAATCTTGCATTTCATGTTTTGAAATTCTCAGCACTTGATATTCTTTGGAGATGATTATACTTAAAATGAGTAGTGTTTTTTTTTTTTTTTTTATATATATTAATAAATTTACCGTATCTCTCATGTAGCCATGTGTACTACATGAGTGGGGATGCATGGAAGGAAGGTGGCATTGATGCAACTGGTAAATTACCTTGACTTTACTAAATTTTAGCAATTTACATAAATGAAACTTGTAAATTACCTTGAAATTGCTAAGCCTTAGTAATTCACATAAATGTATCTCTGTTAATATATTTTACAATGCCATTAATAGGATTGCCTAATGCCTATTTTTAATTTTCATTTGCCTCTACATGAAATGCAAGCTTCTCTTGAAATAGGCTTTTAATCATACAAGTCATTTGGCATAGTAATGATATATGACATAAATAAGTTGCGAGATCAAGTTATTTTGTATTCTTATGACAATGCTTATTATTATAGGCTATGAAGCGCAAACATGATCTTGAGATACAATATAATACACCATATTTTTGAGGACACAACATAGCTATAAAAATTGCTATATGATATGCCATGGACACAATTGTTTCTTTTAGAAATTGTTAATAGAAAAGGCGTTACTCCTAATGCCAATACCTTCTAGTAGAAAAATATCATACAATGAAGTATTATTTTATACTTTTCACATAAAAAGCATAGGGACCAAGAAAAAATAATAGTTTATAATTGAAATTCAATATTTTATTAAGTGTACTTAACTCTCAATAGCACACCAACATTAATAATAATCAATATCCATTATTTTGTAAATGCCATATTATCCACATAAAATGTCAAAAAAAATTGTGTTAGCCTTTAAAATGACCAAAAAAAAATGGAAATAGTAATATATTAATAATTGCCCCAACACACGTAATTTATATATGATCTCCATTAACACAAACAAATGGAAATAGTAATATATTAATAATTGCCCCACGTAATTTATATATGATCTCCATTAACACAAACATTCTCTTCAATTGAACCATCTTCATTATTGATAGATAAACATATTTTGTGAAATTGACTCGTTAAAAGAACATATTTCATCATTATAGTGTGCCTTGGTTGTGTCCAGGTATGCTTCAATTGTGTCTTACTCTTTTGAAGGAAAAAAATGATAAAGAAAATAATTTTCAGTGTGTTAGATACATGTTTGAGATGTGTCCTTTATGTCTGAAATAATGTCCAATATAGACATTATAGGAGATTCACACCATGCTCGGAAACTAATTTCATACACTTAAGCTTAAAGCCTACATAATACACATGCACCACATAGGCTTTCAACTGATGTAATCATATATGTTAATGCTGTTAAATGCCACTGCCATCGTGCATGGTACGGTGCAGTTCACAAAAATAGTATGTGCTATTTGCACCATGTATGGGCAATATTACATGGTGTAATGTCCTAATAAAACATACTAAATTGATTTTTATGATTTATTTTGAAAAAAATTATATTTATTGGGCATAAATCATTCCAAACTGAGACAGCCGAAGGTCTCGTGCAATTTTGATCGAGCAAACAGACCATACCGTGTCCTTGGGAGATGGTAACCTGTTCTAGGAAGGAATGCATTTCTCCCTGAAATCTATGAAAAGAAGAACAAATATTACAAGATATGTGTATATTGTCTTAAATACTGTGATTTTCTTTCCTTTAAAATTTTATTGAAGAATTAAAATTTTTTCGTTCAGAAATGAATTTTGTTTTCTTGTTTTCTTCATTGTTGGTAATACTTCATTGTTTGTATGACATAGTTTGCTTGCTTGCATGATTTTCATGTTTGTTCTTTAAAATCTAGAGAAATAAGCATTGTATTACTTCTCATTTAATTACATTTCATTTTTGTATTATAAAACATGGATTTAAGATATCCTGCATCATTTAATATTTTTATTTTATTCTGTCAATCTCTAATTTAAATTTTGTTCTCTTAAGGGTCAATTTGTTGGTTTTCCTGTTAATCAATGTATTATCTTATTTACTCACTCTAGGAATGTTTTGCAAAGTACAGGAGCATTAATGGTGCTGATATTAAAAGTCATTTCATGTGCTATTAACTACAGCGATGGGCTACTGAAAGAAGAGGGTTTAAGGGAGTCTCAAAAGAAAAATCGACTAATTCATCGACCCACTATAATTGAATATATTGGTTACTGTCTCTGTTGTGGAAGTCATTTTGCAGGGCCCGTATATGAAATGAAGGAATACCTCGAATGGACAGAGGGTGAAGGGGTAAGTTCATTATGTGCTCTTTCTTATACTTACAGCAGCTACTTTATGTCTACTTTCGGAGGCCAGGCTATTTAACCACTTTCTTATGTTCAGATATGGTCAAGTTCAAATGGTAAATCATCACCATCACCTTACAGAGCAATGTTCCGTGCTATAGTCCAGGCTGCTTTGTGCATGGGCATCTACTTGTACCTTGTTCCGCATTTCCCTCTTGCCCGATTCAATGAACCTACATACTACCAGTGGGGTTTCTGGAAAAGGTTGTTTTACCAATATATGTCAGGCTTTACTGCTCGTTGGAAGTACTATTTTATTTGGTCAATCTCGGAAGCTTCAATAATCATATCTGGACTGGGATTTTCTGGTTGGTCAGATTCTTCTCCTCCCAGATCACTCTGGCAGCGTGCTAAAAATGTTGATATTCTTGGAGTTGAATTAGCGACTAGTGCTGTTCAGTTGCCCTTGGTGTGGAACATACAAGTCAGCACCTGGTTACGTCACTGTGAGTTTACGTAACATTACATCTTCTCTTTTATTAGAAGGGGAATCATAACTGAGCCTTGAAGTGCTGCACTGAATTTGGTCGAGTAAAAGTAAAAAAAAATGGTGTTTGAAATTGAAACCTCAAAGGAATTTGTTTGAGTTCATTTTCCCGCTACTTCCTCTGTTTTTCGATCTATTAGAACCCTCCTAAATTCTGTAGTGGGGTCTGAGGGACAGATAGGTATGTGGCTTCTAGTGTTTAAAAAAAGGATACATACAATTTTCACATATATAGATGATAGAGATAATGAGTGGTAGGGGCCGAAAGATTGTGGTTGGGCACTATTAAGAGCAAAGGCAAGGCTTTGCTCAGAGGCAATCAGAAAAACTTCCCTGCAGAAGCCTTGTTTTATGAAAATAATTTGTTGGAAAGATTAGTGAGTCGTCAAGGTTACTTGCCAATTACGGGATATCTCACTTTTGTTGCTAAGCAGGGAAAAGGAGTTTTTATATATACTTTTTTTTATGTATATTCCTTAATCTAAACTTGGTTTGAGTAAGTAAGTTTACATGAGGCTGCACATAGAAATCCTTTTTTCTCGTCCATGTTGTCTTGCATGAATACAATTATGCTGTGTTTGTAGCATTCAATGAATATCGTGTTAATTTTTTGTACGTTATAGTACCTTGCATCCTTTCTCTCACGAGAAGTTTAACTATTTATTTCTCTAGGATGATCATTAATTATTGTTAAGATGTTTTTAAACTGTGGGCTGCTAGGCTTTGCACTGTCATCATTATCAATTAGCATATACTAATTATTTGAATCATGCTCCTTTTACAAATTTATAGTTGGTTGTTTCTTTAAAGATATGATTTTTGATGGTTCAATATATTGAAAATCTTCATCCGAAAATAACATTTCATACGTTGGCTCAGGTGAATTATGTCAATCGAGTAGCAGCTCCACCTTTGAACTTTGATTATGAAAATAGGTTTTCTATATTGTAGAAGGTTGTTATTAAGCAATGAGAGGTTAAAATCTTGAGGGAGCTAACGATGAGGAAAGCATGCAAATGAGCCTAATTTAAAAGCACATGGTTTGGACATTATAATTCAGCTGATGAGTGCCTAATTTTTGTTTTTCATTGTGGGTCTCTTCTAGAAAGAGGATCATGTAGTTTTCTATTCAACCAAGAGGGAAGAAGTCAAGTTGAGGTTTTATAGTGCAGAGTTCATGAGACGAAGGTCTTCTAATGAACTTTAATTATCTTTCTAGCCTACCGGTTGATTAGGAAAATATAAACTTAGAATGCTGTGTGGAGATCAAGCCGAATGGGCTGTGAAGATGAGAAGGAAACTCGCAAGAGAATTATAATGATGCCAAAAGGAGATCGAACTGATTGGCATACTATCATGAGAAGTGAAGACTGAGATGAACTCAAAAAGGTATTGGGAAGAAATACTTGAAAGCTAAGAGACTCTATGCCCGATAAGATTGTCGCCAAGCAATTATTATACCAACTTGTCACCAATAATACATGAAGTCAACGCTAAACTTGGCGCTGCCACCTCAGATATTGCTCATTTAGAATCATGGTTATTGTAATTAATCTTTTCCGTATTTTTATTGGGATACAAAGGCAATAAATAAAAGAAATGGAATTTTTAACTAATAAAAAATAGTTAAAGTAAAAAAAAATTCTTGCTTCTTAACTGCAACCAATCATTTCTTTATTTATATAAATGGATGAAATAAACTATTAGGCGATCCAATTAGTGAGTTTTGAGGTAAATTTAAGTTAGGCTTACAAAGGAGATAACTTCTACTTTAGAGAGATTGTGGAGTCAGAGTTTGAGAGAGGGGATGCAAGGAACCATTTTCTTCCTGGTTGTATTGTTGCATGTTCCCACCATTAATTAAATTTTATAGTTTTTTACTCTGAAAATATGAATCCAGATTAACAAACTCAATTTGCGCCTGCTTGCTTGTAGTGTTGGATGAATCTTGTTTTGATGTATTGTTGGTGACTTGGTGATGATGGATCAAGTTTTTTGACACATTTCTAAGGCTCCTAGAAGATGTTTACAAATGGGATTTAGGAAGGCAGTGGTTGTGGAATAGTGCGGAAGTGAAAATATAGGTTATTGACAACATTTGGAAGGGGGAATGAGGCAAATTCTGTTATTGGACAGCAGATTCAGAGCTGTTCGACTGCTGTCCGGCTGAAGACAACGGGTCGACGGTGAAACGACGAGATATGGACTGCGAGGAGGATCCGCTACCTATTTCTAAGCAAGATGCAGGTAAACAACTTGCAAAATGAAGATGGTAGATCACTCTGAATGGCTTAAAATAGTGAGCAATGTCTCTAAACATACAAAAATAGCAAAAAAAATTTCAAAAATAAAAAAAAAACAACACAAAGTCTCCTTAAAGATAACCCTATTTAGAAATAAAAAAAATTGAAAATAAGTCAGAAATGGAAAAAATCTCAGCTGAAGTTGTGAATAGGAAGAGAGATTTGGTTTCTACGGGATTACAAAATTCTGCAATTGGGTGGCGTTCCGTCCACCAAAATCCCGCCATCAAGACTATAGCGGGTAGCCGTTAGCGGGATGAGATTTTATCTCACAATCATTGGAGGCAGGAGGTTAGACGTGCGAGAGCTCCAACATCATTCTTGGTATAAGACTGTCAGGTTTGGAAGATCTTTGATTTATGTTGACGAAAAATTACTGCAATAACCATTCTTGGTCCTAGATACCTTTAAGAAGGTAAAAGAGGCTAAGGGTCTGTTTGGGGAAGCTGTAACTTATTAAAAAATTGCAACGCGACAGGTGTCAAAAAGTTGTTGCAGAAAAGCTAGTTGTTTGTTTGTTTTTTGCAATTTTACAGCAAAGCGCAGCTATTTCTGCCCTTGTGGTATAGTGTTGTTTATAACAAAACTAATTCTACTAACACATTTCAGACTTGAAAACAAATATCTTGTTTAAATGTTACAAAATAAAAACTGCTAATATCATAATATTAATTTTAAAATGCAGTTGATTAATCTCACAAAATAATTCTCTAACCGATCTGTCCACCTAAAGAAGTCACTCAATATCATAATATTAATTTTAAAATGTAGTTGGTTAATCTCACAAAATAATTCCTTCTCCAACGAACTCTCCATGCTTGATCCCTATCAGCGATTAAATTCTCTAACCGATCTGTCCACCTAAAGAAGTCA